GTGTGGGGGGGGCGGGGTAGGGCTGCCTGGACATAGGTCCTGGGAGCTGGCCAGGGTGAGGGAAGGAAGGGGGCAGGGGGCATGTGTAGCAGAGCTTGCCTAGTTGGTGTGGTCTGTGGCTGCCCCTGTGGTGCTCCCCATGGGGCTGAGCCCCGCCCAGTGTAGCCTGCACCATGCTCCAGCCCATGCCCACCAGCCTGGCCCTGGCCCGCGCCCACAGCTTACCAACAGGGCTGCTCCTGATTGTGGCTGCAGCCACCCAGGTGCTGCTCGGCTCCCCTTACTCCATAGGTGGCAGCTTCTTCTCCTGTTGCGCTGCTCCAGGTGGGGAGGAAGCTTCAGAGGGGCAATTCCTCCTGCCTCAGCGTGTGGGGCTCTGGCTCCAGCTCCCAGCTACCTTCCACCCACTGCCCACCTGGTACGGGCAGCCTGGAGCTGGAGCCCCGTGCACTGGGGCAGGAGCCACCTGGCTGAAGCTTCCTCCTTCCTTGCAGGAAGAGGAGCTGCTGATGGAAATGAGGGGAGCCAGGTAGCACCTGGGCAGCTGCAGCTGCACTGGGAGCTGCCCTGTCAGTAAGCTGTGCATGCTCGCCTGGACCGGGGCCAGCGGGCATGGGCTGGAGCACAGTACTGGCTGCCCTCAGTGGGGCACAGCCCCATGTAGAGCACTGCTGGGGCAGCTGTGGGCCAGAACTAGTCAATTGGTGGGAGCCTCCTGTGAGCCACATCCAGTCAGTTGGCAGCTGGATCTGGCCTGTGGGCCATATTTTGTCCACCTGTGAATTAGACCAAAGGTCCCTCTAGTATAGTATGGTACTGATCACAGTGGCAAATAGATGTTTTAGAAAATTGTATAAAATCACCATATGGGTCAGTTAGGTCAGGTTTTCTTGAGAGAAGCTTCTTTTTATCTCCACTAAATTGTGTTTGGCTTATACCCCTAAAGCAGGCTGGTTTTGTGCATTGCAGAAACCAACCAGAGTATTAAAATTGTTATGAGAGCTGCTTGTCTACAAATATCAGCTTACTCCTTACTACAACACCAAATACTGCTCTGGTCTTATTGTCTGGAGAAGATAATGCCCACCACTTTCCCTTAACCACAACATCAAAAATGGTTCCTTTAGAACAAGATTGAAATGAATTGGTGCGAGACTATTAAGTATCTTGTATCATAGAAGGGCTTGAAGGGACCTGTAGAGATCATCTAGTTCAATCCCTATGGACAAAAGATTTTTGGTATCTAGGCTAGCAGTCTAGCAGCGTTCAGAAATGCACTTTTTCAAATGACATTTTGCATTAGGGGCCTCCAGCATTGCAGATTTTCTGCATATAAGGCAATGGGGAAGAAATGGTTAAACTAGTCCACTTCATACAAGCTTTGTTGAAAGCATTATTTCAACAGAAGCTTTATTGCCATTCAGTAAAAATACTGTTCATTAAGGTAAATGTAATGAAGATGCTTGTTAGCAGTTAAACTTGTTTTGTTGCGAACAGTAGGTAATGCCACTTGATGATAACAGTAGCATTGTCCATAGAGTTTTATAGAGAGTAGGACTGGAAGGGACATCTAGAGGTTCTGTACAAACCATCCTCTACAAACCATAGATGCTAAAAAGGATTGTGGCCAAAATTTACAGTGACTCCTTGTTAGAAATATCTGAGTCCCATCACGCATAGAAATATCATTAAGAGGATGAACTGAGGAAATAGAAGGGCCATGTATTAAAGCAGCAGATGCTGGTAAGACCTCCATTAACATTTTCCTGTGTAGAAATCAGAAGAATAAAAAGGTTTTATCACTGAATCTTTTAAATTTTAAGATTTTATATTTGTTTGCCAATATTTTTCTCTTGGCATAGTTAGCTTTGGCTTGGATATTGCCAAGGTATTGATCATCTCCGGTGAGATGCTGGCAGTTTTCATCTCCTACTGGGCTCCTCTGGAAATGGAGAGTACTGAATACCAAGCAGGAAGCACTTAGCATCTGGCAGGAATTGGGCCATTTACTCTGTTATGAATTTTATAAAATAAATGAACAAAGAAAATGTGTTTTGTGTGCAGTAACATAACAGTCAAATTTATTTAAATTATATAATGTTTGCTCTTCAAAAACTGACTTGTGATCTTTTAGAAACTCAATTTACAACATGAAATTCATTCTTAAACCATCTCAACCTCTATTTTTCAGAAGCTGTTGGTTGCAAGACAGGCAGGAATTAACACCGGGACAGCCATGTCAAGAGGATTGTATCATCCAGCAGCAATCTTTATGGGCCGCCAAATGTCAGCCATCTCAAGCATTGAAGATTTCAGTACACAGCAGAAATCTTCCCAGCCCACAAAGAGCTTTTCAATTTCTGACCCACATTCATGCAGACAGGCAGTACAGAGCAGTAATATGACAGACAGCTGTGTAGTACAAACTAATAGTGATATACAATGCTTAAATAAGTCTGACAAAATAGATGGGAAGACATATCTCCCGATAGGTGAGAAAATGCCAGTCACCTCCAGTATATCATCTGAGAATGGAGGAACTCACTTCCTAGAGACAGAAAGCAATACAAATAATGGCAATAGTAATTTAGTAGAAAGCAAAAAATCTGCTCAACTCAACTTCCTGTTACATGAAAGATTAAGTCCAGAGAACAGAACTGCTGATTTTAAGAGTGACAGTTGTAGCAGATCAGTAGAGGAAGTATTGGCAGCTGAGCACTTTGTAGCAAAGGAGGAAAGACCTAAACAACAAAGCCCATTGGTATCTCCTCCCAAACATATTGTTTCTGCAAATGAACATCCAAGAGAAGGTTTTCCAGGTATCATGTTGTTTATGTATGCTGACCTTTCTATATGTTGTCTTTTTACATCCACCCAGGTGTTTAAAGTGCACCCATTATCACAGGATCTGAGTAATTCCCCAAATGCAGAGGAACCCTACATTTTTTCAGCAGCAAAAGGGGCAAAGCTATGGAGTGGCTTTGCAGGAGGCGCCTGCAGCTGTCTTATGCTATGGAGAAAGCAGTAAAGTCTAGTGGACAGGGTGCTGGACTAGTAGTTCAGGAGACATGGATTCTTTTCCTAGTCCTGCTACTAACTAGTAGTATGTCCTGAGCAAGGCACTTTTTCCCCCATGCTTTTTGTTATGCCTTGCACTTAATGGCTAGAAATGGACATCACCAAAAAAATGTATCAGCTGTACTGGTATGTACCTTGGCACAGTTGGTCTGCTTCATTGGGTGAAATGCATGTTGCCCATTGTCCCACCCATTGATCTTGCAGGACAATGGGGAGCATGTTCCCTGCTTCCAGAGATGGGCCCTCAGCAATCTTCAGGATTCCCAGAGATTGCTAGGGGCAAGTCTCTGAAAGCAGGGAAAGCCGGGGCATTCTGATGTGGTCCTGGGCCTAGGGCTGCCAATCACTGCTATAAACATTTTATGGCACTGCAGATGTGACGAAAGATGACGGCCGCTTCCACCCTACATGTGTCTTGTCTATTTATATTGTAAGCTGTGTGATGCAGGGACTTCCTTTTGCAATCTGTTTGTACAGTGTTTAGCACAATGAGGCTTGGATCTTGGTTGACACTTCTGTAATACAAATGAGAACTGTAATGTTGAACCCTCCTAGTGTGTCTCAGCATTGCAACTCAGAGATGGGTAGATGCTGACGCTGAGCTAGTGAAGCCTTAATTCTCCATGTGGGGATCATGGAGAGGTACCTGTTGTCTGTGGCAGCAAAATAGCTCTCCATCAGTTTCACCTCAGCTGCTTAACAGTGGAAAGGGCTTATTCCCACATACTTTCTTGGATCCCCTGCATAAAGCCTTTTTCCTTGGACTTGGTGTTGGGTTTGGAGCAGTGGGTGTCCCTTGTTCTTCTGTGCAGTGATGCATAGTTATGCCTGAGGGCGTTTGGGCTAAACTGTCCCTGTTAGCCATGCAGCTAGCTGGAGTTAAATGCTGATCAGATGACCTAGTTCACTGGATTACAAATCACACAATTGTTCATCGGGAATTTAGTGGTGAGCTTGATACTTTAGAAATGATCTAATCCAGGGCTGTCCAGCTTGTAAGTGGCTGGGAACTGCATGCCCTGCAGGCTGCATGTATGGGGGTAATGGCCCCCTGAGCTGCATAGATGCCCCCCTTCTCCCCCACTGCAGTAGCTGCCTACACCTCTCCCTGCTGCCTGGGCCTCCCTCTACTGCAGCTCAAGCCCATGCAGTGCCCTGCCCCCCCCCCGGTGCTACAACAGCCCTGCATGGATATTCCCCTTCTTTCCTCCTCCATTGCTGCACTGCACCACAAAGCCTTGACCTTACCCAGAGTGCCCTGTGCCATGTTGCGCCATCACCTGGGGTGGGTGCAGAATATGAAAGCCAGAGGAGGGATGGAGGAGCCCAGCCATCCTGGCTGCTGTTGCAGCCACAGTGATAAGGGAATAATGGCCAGGTGGGAGCCCAGGGGCCAAAACTTAACCCTGTGTGGCCCACAGGCCTTCAGTTGGACACCTCTGGTCTAATCCAACTAGTAATCCCTCTGCTAACAGTCTGAATTCAAAATTTCTAAGGTTTTCCTTGAGAGTATGTGGGGGGGATCAAGTTTGCTGATGCATAGTTTTGTTTGCATTGGTGGAAAGGTATTTATTCCCTCCAGGTACAAGGTCCTGGAAAAGATGTGGTGGAATAAATTGGAGGTGAAATAGTCCGCCATACTCAGATCTAGTAGTTCTGTCCTCAGAGCTGACACTCTTGTTTTCTCCAGTTCTAGTTATCTTTTCTCAGGCAAAGAAGCAAAGGTTAGAATTCAGGCCTCTTGACTTGAAACCAGGAGCAAAAAAAAGGAACAGGCCTCTGAGATTTAGCCTCGCTAGCCTTGTGGATGTTTTAACCACAGGTTACCATTTCTTTCCTTGAATGTGGCCTTCCTAGTGGCCATAATTTTAGCTGCTTGGAAACTTTGCGAATCCAAGAGTGTCACAGACTGAGGCTGTATATTGTGTCTCCCATTTAGAATTTGTTGAGACCATACGTTTGTTTTGGCTCATGTTGTCCAGGTCAGGGCATTTGTCTTCCCAGGGCAGTGCATGGGAAACTCAGTCCTTTGGCTCAGATCCTTAGGCATTTTATTCGTTCCAGGGTCCTGAGTAGACAAAAAGAGGTGGAGGGGGGTAGAGGACGTAGGTTCTTTCTGAAGCCTGATTTATGCTGCAGTCCATTTTGGTATCCTCTGAACAATTGGCAGTAAACTCTCTAAAGCATTAGTTTGAAGCCTGGCAAGACTTCTTTGTAGGGAATTTGCAGGGTGTACAAAAGTGGGAGCAAACTTAGTCCTTCATCGCCAGACTCTCAGGTAGCAGAGGTCTGCTCCCCCATTGAACTGGACTTCTTGCCTTTTAAAATCTCTCTCCAGCCTTGACACACCTTGCAGGTCCATAGTAATTCTTGAACTCATTCTTATTTGATGTGGGGTCTTTACAAAGACATTGTTTCCTCTCATAAGGTTAAGATGATCTTACAGTCATGTCTATGTCCACAATTTAAGGTAGTATCAACGTTTCATCTTAAACAGTGTAATAATATTTTACTTTGAAGGGTATGCTTGACCTCTGCCTATGGCTAAATTTTGTTTCCCCCAGAAAGTTTATGGAAAATAGTTCATCCAGTTTTGAGATAAGGAGAATTAAAGGTCAGTAGAGTTGCTGATGTTGACTTATTTTTCAGACCATTTGAAAAAATATTTTAATGCCTTAGGAGTTTAGCATAGCAGTCTGAATTTGCAGAGGAAGAATGCTGAGGGCAGAGAGTTGCCTTTTGCCATTCTGGTGAATATCCATCCAGAATTGACTGCAGGTTCATCTCTAAACACAGTGTTCATACTACCTGTCAGTTGTTTGTGAGACCTGTTCTTTACCAGTATATTTATACTGTTGTGAAAAATCATATCCCGGTATAGTTCAATTGTACATAAACGGTTGTGAGCTGTATTGCTGGAAGGTCCCATTATATCAGTACTAACCAATAGTCTGTCAGGAATGACAGGGGGCAGGCTGGGACGGAGTACTGCCACTCGCTATCCCACATTGCCGCCGTCTCCTGGGGGAGGGGTGGAGCTTGCTCCTCCATCCCCCTCAGCCAGCTCCCCATACCGCCGCTGCCTGCAGGGAGCAGGGCCACTCTGTCCCCGCCGTTATGGTGGTGCGCCGCTGCCACTGCCTCCTGTCTGGAACGCTCTTGCAGCACTCTGATTGTTTCAGACAACCAATCAGAGTGTGAATAAAGCGTTATGGACAGACAGACAGACCAAGGCTTTTATAATATTAGAATAACTGTACAGTATGTATAATAGAAATTGTTCCAGTGTGGTTGAAGAAGTACAGCTTTACAGTAACGTCTAAGTAATAACATTAGGGAACTGCTATTTGTGCATGTGAAGGTGAATTTACTATAGGCCTACTCATTTCTTGAATATTCCTTACCCAGCTGAGAAACTTGCTTTGTGTACATATGATCCATATTTTTTTTTCCTATCAAAATATCCTTTTGCTCTGGAAAATAATTTCCAGCTCTCTTCTCCTGTCCAGTGTACTACTTGCTGGCTAAGAATGTCTGTTCCCTTCTAACAGCCTGATGCACTTACGATTGTCTTTAATGGAGTTATTCTTTGAGCTCAAGTAGTAAAGATCAATAACTCAAGAAGTTTGTTCTGTTTTCTTAAGACCTTCCAGAAATATTTTCCTCTGCCTTCCAGTAAATACAACAATTCTCAGGTCATACCAGTTTTCCAAGCCATATAACAATTACTAAATGGAGTTTTATATAATCAAAACTGATGGCAATTATAACAATGGAGGGAGAACCCTCCCATTCCCCCTCCCCGCATCCTCCTTTCCCAAAGTAATGGAACGATCATACAGTTTTTGTGGCAAAACCTGGCCGCATCATCAGCTGTTCCTGTTGGCAGCTTATTCTCTTTGGCATCCTGTTGCATCTTTTCTTGTGGCTTTCTGTACCTGCCTCCTTCAGGATTTTATTTCTCATTTTCTTTCCTTGGTCTTTGACATATTTACTACTTGTTGATTTCAGGGAAAGACTGCCACGTTTTTTGAATTGGAAAAACAAAACACCAACTTGGCTTACATTAGCCTTAGGGCTCTGTGATGCAGCTTTGGCAGAGTACCCATTCTCTTCTCTCAGCTTTCATAAGAAATGTTGAGGTAGGCAACATGATTAGAAAGCAGTTAATTTAATTTTTGAACATAATACCTGTACCTTAAGGGAAATATACATTTTGATTCAAAATTAACATAAGCCTTTTGTCAAATGCTGCCATAACCACCTCAAATGGCCAGAGGAGGGCTGGGGGAAGCGGTGGGGGGGGG